TACTTCTATAGTTTGTTGTCATTTATTGTTACTTATATAGTTTATTGTCAAAAATATGTTTATTTACTTTGATTATGTCTATCAGTGATAACATTGATCTCATTTAATTGAATAATAAGTTTAGTTTGGTTTAGTCTTCTAGATTACAATGTAACTAAAATTTAATTTTATTGATTTAATTTAGAGATTGTTTCTTTTGTTTTATATTAAACTTAATTCAGTAGTTTTTATTTTTTAAGGAGATTTAATTATCTTTAGTTGTGATCTCATCTACTGTAATTTGAAATTCATCTTATTTAATTTTGCTGTATTTCAATTTGTAACAGCCTTGAGCTATATATATATATATTTTGTATTTGGTTAATTCCTGTTTTATGCCAACAAAATATGTATGATGTGGTTCCCCATAATTGGAGGAACACAAGGCAGTATTAATGTAACATATTGATTAACATAGCATGTAAGTGTATCTTCTGTCGGGAATTCAAATAAATAAATAAATAAATAAATAAATAATTGTCATCATTCTATTTTAAATATTGATATTTTATTAAGAAATCAACCTTAAAACTTTTTCCAAATGAAATCGTATTCAAAAACCGGGGTTATAATGCACACAGTTTATAAAGACACTTATACTTAACGTAAAATCATTCTCTAGCATGACCACTTAAGTTGTTCGGTTTACGTGGATTGATTCTGTTCCGTTTAGTGAAGACGCTATTGTTTCTAATTTTATTTATTGTTTTTTTTTTTATTTAAAAATAGTTTTTATTTAATATTATACTTCTTTACTGTGTTTATTAAAATATGGAATAGGCAGATATAATGGATTTAATTTTAACTGCAGTAAAGACATTTTTTTTAGCTTTCATCAAAATCCCGTTTTTTTTTTTTTTTTTTGTGAGGGGAAAATCATCAAATGACTTCTCCCGCCCAGGGCCGGGCAGGAGGGAGTGTCAGACTCTTACTGACTAAAAACCCCCCTGTTCCTTCTCCTGCTCTGTGCCGAGGTCGCGGTACCTTATTGCGCTTACCCCGCAACCCCGGCTGAACATCAGCCCTTTAGGGCCCCGTCTGTGGTGGTCTATTGGCTCTTTGAGGCGCGCGCGGAACGCTACGCGCCGTACGCTCGGGCCTGGTTCTGGTCGGGCGGCGAGCTGCCCTTAGCTGCCCTTTCGCCGACCGCAGGCCCGTACTTACGGTGGCCGGAGATCGTCCCTCGATCCCCGACGCCCGTAGTGTCGCCAGTTGCGGCTGCTGGGGCGTGAGGAGGAGGATTGCTCCCTCACGCGGGCCGCCTCTCTCTTTGCGAGCATGACTGCTTCACAAAAGGAGGAGACGGCGTCCCAGTTCCTCTCACTCCGCACCATGGCCTCGACTAAGGCCGGGCGCGAGAGGTCGCCGCCGCCGATCACTTCCCTGAGGATACGGCGGTGCTCAGCCCAGGCAGGGCATACCGCTACCGTATGCTCCACCGTATCCTCTAGGTGGTCCTCACAATGACGACACTCGGGCGTTTCCTCCCGCTGAATCCGAAACAGGAACCTACCGAAGCTGCCGTGCCCGGTAAGCACCTGCGTCAGGCGGAAGGTGAGGACGCCGTGGCGTCTCTCAAGCCACTCCTCAAAGAGGGGTCTTACCGCTGCTATGGTAGCGTGCCCGGCCCTCGGTTGCGACAGTCGTTGTTTCCACTCTGCCATGAGATCTCGCCGGAGCTCATTCCGCCACGCACTAATTTGGCGCGGCAGAGGATCTTCGCCCCGGCGACGCGCGTCTGCGCGCAAACTGTAGACGCGCGCGAGCGCCTTCGCTTCTAGATCCCACGGCGGTGATCCGGCAAGGATTTCGCCGCCTCCCCGGAGATCGTGCGATACCCGCGGATTACTCGAATAGCCATGACCCTCTGGGACGCGACCAGCGTACGAGCCGGCCGCCGCTTCAAGGCCGGCGCCCACACAGGGGCACCGTAGAGGGCCATGGATCGCACAATCCCCATATACAACCTCCGGCAGGAGGCGTTTGGCCCCCCGAGGTTGGGAAGGAGCCGCTTGAGCGCGGCCCCAGACCGTTCTAGCTTAGGGGCCAAACGACGAAAATGCTCCGTGAAGTTCCATCGGCTGTCGAGGACGAGACCCAGGTACTTCATCGCCGACTCGACGCCGATGGTAACTCCTCCTGCCGTTATTTGGGACCCACCTGGAGGTGGCGCGCTCCGACGGCCATAGAAGCACATGGCCTCGGACTTGTGGAGCGCCACCTCGAGTCCCAACTGCCGGATCCTTGCAACGACTGTCGCAACCGCTTGTGACATCAGGTCGGCCGCCGCCTGATGCGACCTCCCGTTCGCCAGCACCAGCGTGTCGTCAGCATAACAGACAATGCTGACGCCGCTCGGGAGGTCGGTGCGTAGCACCCAATCGTACCCGATGTTCCACAGGAGAGGTCCCAGGACCGATCCCTGTGGGACACCGCGCGACACCTCTCGCCGATTCCACACGCCCCGGTGACCGGGGTAGATGACGCATCTGTCCGTCAAGTAAGCCTCGACTACACGACGGAGATAGGCAGGCACCCGGTGATACCGGAGTGCCTCCAAAATGCAGCTCCAGGGCAACGAGTTAAAGGCGTTGGCGATGTCCAGAGACACCGCCACGACGACTCGCCTCCCGGCCAACGCTGTCCCCGTCGTGAGGTCCCTCACGCGCATGATGGCGTCCACCGTGGAGCGCCCTCTGCGGAAGCCGAACTGGCCGTCCGCTAAATCCGGCCCCCTTCCAGACAGGTGCCCGACGAGGCGGTCTGAGATTATCCTCTCGAACAGCTTTCCCACCTCGTCGAGCAGCACAATGGGCCGGTACGCGGACGGGGAGTCCGCAGGACGCCCCGGCTTCTTCACGAGGACCAGTTTACCCGTCTTCCACGACAGCGGAAACTGGCCTCTCTCCAAACATGCGCTGAACAGACCAAGTAGTCGAGGCCTGAGAGCCTCCGAGGCCAGGACCCAGACCTTGGCATGCAGCCCGTCAGGTCCTGGGGCGGTATTCTTGCCGCTCAGCCGGCGCACCGCCACTCTCAAATCTACCTCGGTCACTTCCGGAGCGGATTCGTCGTCGTCGTCGATGTAGCCCGCATTGGGCACCGCAGGGGGCGGGGGCATAGCCGGAGGCGTGTAACCCATCTGTGGTCGGGGGAATAGCGCCCCAACCACTTCGTCCACGACCTCCGGCCGGAGACTCTGAGTCAGTGGGGGCGCCCAGGTGCGGAGCTTATCACGCACCATCCGGTAGGGGCGTCCCCACGGGTCTCTGTTCAGAGTCTCCAACATCTCCTCGCGGGCCCGATCTTTGGCCCGCCGGATCTCCACCCTGAGGGTGGCCTTCGCCGCCCTGTACTCCTCGTATAGCTCCGCCTCTCTGGTTTCAGCGTCCAGAGGGCGGAGACGGAGCCTGCGGTGCCTGGTGTATCGGCGTCGCGCTGCGGTGCACTCACCGCGCAGGTCTGCCAATTCCTGCGACCACCAATACACCTGGCGCTTGCGTTGGCACGGTCGGATCCGGGGCATCGCCACGTCGCACATCCTTGACATGGCGTCCTGGAGCCATCTCGCCTCCTCGTTAATGTCGGCTGGCCTGACCGGTGGTATCACCCAGGCCTGCACGACTGCGGCTTCCAGGAAAAGCTCCCGGTCCAGTTGCCTAAGCGCCCAACGCGGGCCACACGGGGCCCGTCTGACTGGCGGGTCTGCGGACTCGGCGGAGACGTCGAACCGTATATACCGGTGGTCCGAAAACGTCTCCACCTCCTCCATGACGCGCCAGTCAACAACGCGCGATGACAGAGCGGGGCTAGCAAACGAAATGTCCACCACTGACTCGCCCCGCATCCGTACGCACGTGGGGACAGAACCCCGGTTCAGCACGACTAGGCCTGTCTCCAAAGCCCAGTCTTCGACCATCCTTCCCCGGACATCAGTGAGCCGGGAACCCCAAGCCAAATTCTTGGCATTGAAGTCCCCGAGGACCAACACGGGGAGGGGACGGAACCCGACGACGACGGTGACTAACTCCCTGAGGGAGTTGTGGAACTCGACGAGAGTTCGGTTCGGAGAGAAGTACACGCCCACCACGGCGATCTCTCCGAACCGAGCCGCGACGCAACCCCTGCCTCGCTGAGGCCCTTCGGGGGTTGGGGTACCGGCGGCGGCATCAAAATCCCGTGCGATATGAAAAATTGACAACAATAACGCCAACATTTTCAGTACTTTAGATATATATTCTTTTTATTATTTTACATCTTTTTTATTTGACTTCGAATTTGGAATATTTTTCAAAGTATACATATATACTTTGAAATTACTAATGGATTAAGGAGGACGAAAATAATAAAAAAAAATTATAACTATATGCATTAGTTCCTTTGGTAAATAAATGAACAAACCTATAGAAAAGAATACTATGAGTAATGCGTTTTAATTTGCGGATTTTTTTTTTTTATAAATTATCGAAAAAAAAATGAAAGAAATATATTTCTTACGAGACATTTCGACTCCAATCATTCTTTGTCCTAGCGGTGAGCCGAAGTCGTTAAATTTTATTGCTTATTTTTGACACTTTGTAAATTCGACTTAAAAACATGCGAATATGGTTCAATTTCTTATTATCTATGCAAAAAATGTTTAGTTTTTGTACATTACTTTGTGAAAACAACTCTATGAGTTGCATTTAAGGTTTAATTTACATTAATGCATGTTTATTTCAAGTATAAGTACCTAAATACAGTTGGCGACAGTTTTGAAGCGAACTTTTGTATGGGATTGTGTATCTAGTTCTTTATTAGTGATCGATGAAAATACCTCATAGAAAAACAGTTACATGATATTTATGTATGACATGACCACCTTTACTAATGTCGGTTTTTGTTTTTAAAGATGGGATATAACCAAATTTTTATTTCATTCGTTACTTTCCGATCAATCTGTGTTTGAAACAAATACTTACAAGAAAATTTTCTTTGGTATCCTGGCAATGTCGTCTGCATTGGCGAGCACATACTTGGGCTTTATGAGCACGATGCCAGTTATTGCTTCCTTGACCCCATCTCCATTGTCTGTGAAATCAATACACGTGACGTCACTCACAACTTCATTTCCTCTGTGCTTTTAGAAATTAAGAAAAGCCTCGTGTTCGTCTCGGCCTGTATAAAATAATTCTCAACCAACATTATTATTTGAATGATGAGGATTTTGATTTGGTGAAGTGACTTATTAAATGTACTTCAGTTGACTGATTGTATGATCCAACAGTCTTTTACAATCTACGGCACCCGAATTATTTCGCAAATAAACCAACTGACCTTAGCTAGTAATAAAGGTTTAATAGGTTGACTATACCCAGACAAATATCCCCAGTGATGCAACAGAACACCTACTGGGTTCCCATCTTAATGTTTCCTTCACGCAAAGGATCAGTTTATATGAAATCTTGTAGTTTTGGGATAATTGAAGATGCTATAAATAGTTTATATGATTCTGGGGACTTGGTGAAGGTACTTATCCATACAACAAAGATAGTTGGCATGATTCGTGCCGGGGACTATATCACAAGTAATATTTGCGTGGACTTACCAAGCGATACTTTGAACAAGCCGAGCCAGCTGAAGTGGGAAGTCTCCCCTATATTCCCGTCTCCCAATAATACGATCTTCTGTTTATCACACTGATGTGTCAGTGATGGCTCTGTTATAAAAATCAGTAAACTTAGTACCTACTATATTATTTACCGTACAAGCTATTATAGATCTTATGTCGTTATACGTTATTGTCATTAAAATAAGTTTAATTGTCCATTAATCATATACGTGCTTTAAGAGTGAAAGTCGCGCGAACTATTTACTAAATAAAAAAAGTTGAATGTCAGGATATGAGGAACTAAGGCACGAAGTATAAGTTCCAACAATAGTACCGTGTGAATCCAATACACTGTAACTGCAAAAAGCTGATTTTGAGAAAACGAGCAAAAACACTTTTTTGTGTTTTCAGAGGATTACGATTATGTTTATTAAGATATATTTAAGTGTTTGATATCAATAAAAAGGTATTTTTATAAGGTTTTCAGCCCCCCCAATTAAAATACATTTTATCGTTAGTATATTGATTTACCATAGATAACTTGTATTGCCACAACAGTCAGTAGAAGCGAATGAAGAGATTGTTGTGGTAATACACTGTATATTAGAGTTACGGTGTATTGCACTGTTAAATCAGTGTTTTTTTACTGGTTCAAACAATGTATCTCTGAAAGTTTGGTTCGTTTTGTTGGGTGACCAAGAAATATACTTTATTAACTTATCTTTCTCAGCTTTCACGAGGTTCTCGTCATGTGGGACAGCTATATCAACAATCATTGCACGCCTCTCGTTTCGGTCTACCACCACTATATCAGGCTTATTGGCCACAATAGTCCTGTCAGTGATGATAGACCGGTCCCAGTACAAAGTGATATGACCATTTTCAAGAACTGGGTCGGGCTCATACCTGTACTACGGCACTTCCGATCCCACAAGAGAGTAGTTCAGAGCAAGCTGCTGATGGATGATCCTAGCTACAAGGTTGTGCCTATGCAAGTACTCGCCGTTAGCTAGACGAGAACAACCAGAGATTATGTGACGAATTGGTTCTCCCGGACGGTGACATGTCTGACAGATGTCAGTCGTGCCGTCCTTCACAATAAATCTCCGCTAGTTATTCGTCATGATAACTTCGTCCATAATTGCACAGACAAACCCTTCGGTTTCCCCAAAGAGGTCTCCGAAACGCAGCCAGGCTACGGACGCCACCTGGTCTACATCCGGTCCATGTAGGGCTCGCCACGACGGGTTTGCGCCAGTTCTCGATAGCCAGGGAGAGCAGGATAAGACCTTTGTCCACTGCCACTACATCTCGATGCATATCCACGTCGGCAGCTAGTAAATATTCCCTGAGACTACATACCTCGCGGTTGTGTAGGCTCTTGGCATTTAAAAAGCCTCGACCCCCACACTTCCGCGGGATATACAGTCTCATCACCGACGACCGCTGGTCATGCATTCGGTATGCAGTCAGCATTGTTCGGACCTGCCTATCCAGGGCGTCCAGTTCAGTTTGGGACCATTTGAGTACGCCGAAAGAGTACATCAATACCGGCATGACCCAACCGTTGAAGGCGCGCACTTTGTTTCCACCTGAAAGAAAGCTATTAAATACCTTCTTCAGGCGACCAAAGAAACGCTCCTTCAGGGATTGCTTCATGTCAGTGACATTGATGCCTAAAGCTTCCGACATACCCAAATACTTATAGGTTACTGTTGGAGAGAGGGACCTCAGTTTTATGGAATCCGTGAGTTGAGTTCCCACAAATTCCACAACCTCCCCTCGTTTTACATGCATGACCGCACATTTGTCCACACCGAACTCCATCCTGATGGCACTACTGAAGGTTTCAGTTAGCTTGAGTAGCTCCGTCAGTTGCAGTTTGTTGGGGGCAAAAAGCTTCAAGTCATCCATGTAAAGGAGGTGAGATATAACCTGACCACCTCTCTTCAATCGGTAGCCTAGGCCTGAATTCTCTAGGAGTGTGCTTAGGGGATTCAAGGCTAGGCAGAACCAAAGCGGACTCAAACTATCACCCTGGAATATACCACGCTCGATCCTTACAGGTTCGCTATTCCTTTGCGTATGTCGACATCCCGGATAGCGAAGGACTGTACTCCATTGCCTCATACAGGACATGAGGAAGGTGCGTAGTATTGTATGAATTTTCTACAATTCCAACACCCTCATGAGCCATGTATGAGGAATAGAGTCATAGGCCTTCTAATAGTCTATCCAACATGCCGACAGATCCTTACGGGCACGTCGAACCTGTTGGCTGATGGTCATATCAATGAGGAGTAGCTCCGTAGTACCGCGGGACCCGCTCTTACATCCATTCTGAGCAGTTGACATGATTTTATTTTTGTCAATATGACTATTAATTTTACTTCTCAGTATGGATGTAAGAACTTTATAGACCGTCGGCAGACACGTGATCGGTTTATAATTCTTGGGTTCCGCAGTACTACCTGATTTATGGAGCAGGTGGGTTACTCCTGTCGTTAGAAACTTGGGCAGCGATCCTGCATTAAATTCACCTTTATAGTCCAATGACTTTAAAGGTGAATTCAAGTAAATACATTTAAAAATACGTAAACGATGGCACGTGCCTGCTTTGAACTGAGAACTAAAATCGACCAATAATAGTAATCGACTAATAATAAGCCGCGCTCTGATTGGCGCGCTGGCGTCGCACGACATTTTTGACAAAACACTGTATCTTAAAACGCGCGAGAATTATTTTGCCAACACATTGCATCTTTGGTTACCGTGTTTTGCAATTTTAGGCTTTTAGTCTAAGTTAAATACAGTGTTTTTTGCATGACGATATCTCAGATTTTTGTGAATAAAGACCAAAATCTATGAATGTAGGATCATGTAACAGGCAAAAAGAAATCGAATGGACGTTGTTAATTCAAAACACTGTAACTCCAGATACAGTGTATTGGATTCACACGGTACAATATAGTTCTTACAGTTTCAGAAAAACATGACTGTATCAACACGGACAAACACACAGATTTCATTCATTACAATTTTACAAATCCATTAGAATTCAGTTCTTTGCGTTTTGGCTACGTAAAATAAATCAGCTCGGAAATGAATCCTAAACTTAGCCCATTTTGTTTCTTAGCCACCGCTATTAATATATTCAATAGACAGAAAATAAAAGAGGTGTTACTTTATACAGGACTACACTTTATTGCCAACGAAAAGCACCAGCTTTCTGTTATCTTCACTAGGTATAGAAACTCTAGGCTGGAAATACCGCGTATCGAGCGCAGTGCCTTTGCTTAAATTCGCAAGCGGATAGGAGATGGTCATGATGATGATGAATGATGACAATTGAGACTGGTCAACTCTACTTTACACATCTTTACACATCTTTATGTGAAACTGATTTAAAAAGAGTAACCAAGGAGTTTCTTACTCGTTCTTCTCCATCGGAATCAACACTTTGGAACGAGCAAATAGCTTCACTAGAGGACTGACCGACAGACAAACCTGACACGTCTTTACATCTTTAAAAATTTTGTTTGACGTTCAAAAGTGCCTGTTTGGGTCTAATTGAAATATTTGTAATATTTTGACTTTGACTTGACCCAAAAATAATTTAACAATTAAAGATTATTAATAATTATCTATTATTTCTAATAATTACCGAAAGTCGACGTAAAAGTGATAAATTAATGACAATCATTTGTCACTTTTTATTATTAATTTGACCCTAGTAGTTGATAAATGTAATAAATGGTCAAGGGTTGCGGGACGTGGGACCGCAAAAGCAAGCAGAAAACACATTAATTATTGGTATTTATTATACTTAGCAGGTACTTACCGATTATAATCATCGAAATCCCCAGAAAGAGCACAGTTCTATACATGATTGTCTGAAGATATAATAATTACAACAGAAATAGTGTTCACTAGCAATACACACGCACCGCGTCACCTTCGACAATATAACATAATGACATCCGACGCAGTTGGATCCATTGCACTTATATGCCGACAGGAGCAGCTCACTGTGCTCACAGACAAAGATGATGTAACTAATGGAGGCATCAATCCACTGCGCTACTGCTTATTGTACAACTTGTCTCTGCATTGTTCTCACATAAGAGTACAATAATGTAAATGTTATATTATTGAAATTGTAAAAAAAAATTTTTTTTTAAAAGTGTAACGAGTGGAGTTTCTTGCTCGTTCTTCTCCATTCGAATCTACAATTTGGAATGAGCACCTAGCTTCACTGACGAACAGACTGACAGACTACTTTTCTATTTTGACGTTTCAAAAGTACCTATTTATGGTTTGGTTGACTTTGACTTTGTAACAAATTAATGTTTTGTATGACTCCACTGCAAGCGAAAACCACCTTTGGGTGTCTTCAAGGCTTTTTTGTTTGCTTATGGGTACAATGTGGTGCATCATTGCTTACCATCAGACATGACAGTGGCCGAACGATGATCATTGTTAAATAGAAAGAATATTATAGTTCAAACCTAAAATAGTCTTTTTCACTATGGAGTCTTTAGTAATTTTGGGAGGCTCGCACTGTCTTAGAATTGGATTAATAGCATAATTTACATTTGCCAAACTAGTTTAAATTTTCAGATCAAACGATAATCGTTTGACAACACATTTTCCTCCAATAAACCTATGAAAAAAACAATAAGTATTCCAAAAGACTAACTCTTAATTTCACGCGAGTGAAACCGTTCGCCTAAAACTATATTCATCCTACACAAATCAATAGCGTTGGTACTCCACGTGTATTTCACTCTGTGTTTTCAAATAAACTAATTCGGATGTTTGTTGTAATTTAGCACTAGACGCGTAACTTAGACAACAATAAACAAACGCTATTCTAAAAATGGCTGACTTTATTATAGCGAATTTTAATGATGACGAATTTCCTCCAAATCGTAAACAAAAATGTTTTTTTTTTATGTAATAGGTAGGTCGGCAAACGAACAGACGGATTACCTGATGGCAACGCCGCCCATGGACACCCGCAACGGAAGAGTTACGAGTGCGTTGCCGACCTTTTAGGGATTAGGAATTTGGAGATTTAGAGATTAGGGAGGGGAAGGATGGGCCCTTCGGTAACCTCACTCACACGGTAAAACACAATGCTGTGGTTGTTTCACGCCGGTTTTCTGTGAGGCCGTGGTATCACTGTCGGTCGAGCCGACCCAATTATTCGTGTATTCAATAAATAGGAAAAAGTAACGCTAACTTTTTGCCAATGTAAATTATTTATCATTAATTAGTAGTAATGAGAATATTATCATCAAACAATTAGATCCCACTACTGAGCTAAAGCCTCTTCTCACACAGGGACGGTTTGAGAATTAATCACCCCGCTTTTTTTATGTAATAGATCGGCAAACGAGCAGACGGATTACCTGATGGTAAGTAATCAGCGCCGCCTATGGACACCAGCAACGTAGGAGTTACGAGTGCGTTGTCGACCTTTTAGGGATTAGGGATTTGGAGATTTAGGGATTGAGGAGGGATTGGGGGTGGAGAAGGATTGGGCTTCCGGTAACCTCACTCACATGGCGAAACACAACGCTGAGGTTGTTTCACGCCGGTTTTCTGTGTGGCCGTGGTATCACTCCGGTCGAGCCGACCCATTCCTGCATTCGTGTATTCAATATTCTCGTCAAGGTTTATTATCATTAATTAGTAGTAATGAGAATATTATCATCAACCAATTAGATCCCACTACTGAGCTAAAGCCTCTTCTCACACAGGGACGGTTTGAGAATTAATCACCCCGCTTACTCCAGACGGATTGGCGATTTCAAACTTGTAACTAGAAATTATAAGTTTTTATTCACAGTTTGTCACTAGTGTCTAAATAAGCTTAGTAAGTGTATACAACTCGGATAATTGGTTCCTTGCCAGATTTCCAACTCGCGTCCTCATGCATGAGAAGCGGTCGCCTTAACTTCCGGACCACCACGACATTTTTACAACTAGTACAAAAATTTATTTTACTTCATATTATTATTTGTTAATGTAAATTATATATTTTTCTTGTATGCCACTTTTTTTTAATACCTATGGTAAGGCGTCAGCTGAGCATACGGATTACCTCATGGTAAGCAACACTAGAACGCTTAGAGGAGTTGCAAGTGCTTTATCAGCCTTTTGGGTATAAAGGGGTTTGGCGATTTAGGGACTGGGAAGTAACGCAAGAAGATGTAGGATTGACTCCAGTAACCTCGCTTACATGGCGAAACCCAACATATCCATTATAATTTTTATTTAAAAGAAAACCTTGCCCCACGCCGGTTTTTTCCCGTGTCGTTACAAACATACAATTTCACACCCAGAACCGGAACAACAATTTGTAGATCACACAAAGAGTTGTTCCGTGCGAGAATCGACCCTCGGCGCATATTGCGCGGCAGCCGGTTGCCCAGTCAAATAATTATTTTGGTATGTAATGCTAGTACCAGTACAACAAATAACACAATATCATAAATTATTACAGCAGTTCACTTTCGTCGCTGCAATTAGGAACTCCAAACAAAGAATGTCTTGTCATTTGTTTAAAGTTACCTAAGTTTAAAGTCATAAGTTACACTAAACCAGGCGCTAAAATACACGATATACTTCATGTGAAATCTATGTTAGAACTGAGCGCAAACGATTGCGTTGTTATTATAGGTGGCACTAATGATACTGATCCATATCAACTTGAAATAGCTCTCGGTAACTGTTTGCGAACTGTCTCTACACCTAATATAATAATGTTAGAGGTGCCTTATAATAAAAGTCTAAACGAAACTAAATTAAATTATTTAATTAAGTATATTTGTAACAAACATTCAAATGTTTCATTCATAGACATGGGTTACAGTAACTGTCATATGCCAGCAAAGAATAACTTCACTCTCAATATATGTAGAATGTTGCTTCAGGAAATATTGCGTATTGATTATAGGTTAAATAGAGAAAAGTATGATGTAACAATGAGAAAGAAGCACAAAACTGTGTCTGACAAATGTATCCAAACTGATCCAATATTAAGCTTGTCTAATACCTGCAAATGTTATGATTTAAACGAAACATGTAAGTGCAATAATATTAATTGTGAACAGACATTAATAAATGATAATCCTATTCACAAAACTGCTTCAAATAATAATAATAATACTATTTTTTTTCTCGTATAATTATGTATTGATTTTACACCAGAATATTAATGGTTTAATAAATAAATCGGACTTATTTGCCTACCACTTGCAGGAACTTTTTCATGAGGGTAAACCATTGGACATAGTTTGCATTACAGAACATAATATGAAGGATGGTGACGATATTCACTTTAATATTCCTAACTTTAGACTTGCATCCTACTCAAATAGAAATTCTCGCAAGGGAGGGTCGTGTATTCTAATTAATAATAAACACAAATTTAAAATTATAGACATAAATGAATATTGCTGTCCTAATTATATAGAATGTTGCGGAATTGAGATGATAGAACACAAACTAATCATTATATGTATTTATAGATCACCAAAAAACAGCTTAGACGCTCTTACCACATTTTTTTGTAATTTTGAAGGAATACTACAAAAGGTCTGCACTAATATTAATGGAAAAGTTGTGATATGTGGTGACTTTAATATAGATACTCTAAAACAAACACGTCTTTCGTCACAATTTGAAAATCTATTACTGAACTATAATTTAAAATTAAGTATCAAACAACCAACTCGAAATATTAGTGGTACATGTATTGATAACGTTATACATAATATTAGGGGTAGTAAAAGCGAGGTATTGGAGTTGGCCTTATCTGACCACACAGCACAAATTGCGAAAATTCCAGTTAAAAAAACTTACACAATTAGTCATTGGTACGCACTCAAGCGAGATTATAGCATGGAAAACATAAACAAATTTAAAAACGCTATACATAATCTTTCTTTTAAAAAGGTCTATGAACGTCTGGACCCTGATGAAGCCTTTAATGAGTTTAATAATTTATTTAAACTTTTCTATGATTTATGTTTCCCCACAATTAAAATTAGAATACCTATTAGAAAGAAACTAAACTGGGTAACAAATGGTATCAAGTTATGTTGTAAACGCAAGCGAGAAATGCTCTGGCAATTAAGAAGACAGAAAACTCCTGAAAATAAAGAAAAACTTAAGACATACACTAACCGACTCAAAAAAAATCATCCGTCTCACCCAAAAATCAAGAAATAACTTTAATATTAAAAACTCAAAAAATAAATCTAAAGCTACCTGGAATATTATAAATAAAAATAAATTAAACGGTCCGAAAGAAAATATTTGTAAAATAACTACCAATAGCAAAGAAATAACAGATCCATTAGAAATCGCGGAAGAGTTCAATAATTATTACATTGATTTAGTTCAACCGCTAAATAATAGTAAAAATCCTGACTTATCTTTTATAACAAGAACAAATAATTCAATGTTTATGCCTGCTACAGTTCCTTTCGATATATCCAAAATTATCAGAGCTTTAAAAAACACCAATAGTGCAGGTTATGACGAAATTATTACTAAAGTGATAAAAAGTGTCGATGTCGAAATATCTCCGGTTCTTAGCTTTATTGTAAATTTATGCATAGAACATGGTAAATACCCTAAAGATTTAAAGATATCTGTAATAAAGCCGATGTTTAAGAAAGATGATAGACAGAATCCTAAGAATTATAGACCTGTAGCTTTAATTCCAATTTTCTCAAAAATAATCGAGAAAGTCATCTATAACAATCTATATAGTTTTCTGGAAACATATAAAATATTAGCGGATGAACAATACGGCTTCAGAAAATGTAAAAGTATAAATATGGCAATATATGGCCTTGTAAATAAAGCTATAACAAATATGGATAGACGGACACGCGCAACTGCCTTGTTTATGGACATGTCCAAGGCATTTGATTATGTAGATTTTGACATACTCTTGTCTAAATTAGAAAAATATGGAGTAAGGGGCAATGTATTAAAATTAATAGAATCTTATCTTAAAAATAGGTTCCAAATAACAAGTATAACAAAGATTTGCCAGAAGACAAACTTGGAACTTACGTATCAGTCAAAACCAAGAAAAACTAGCTTTGGTGTGCCCCAGGGAAGCGTTCTTGGCCCGTTATTGTTCCTCGTATACATTAACGATATGCCTAGAGTTATTCAACATCCCATGACTTTGTTCGCAGATGATAGTACAGTTATTTTTACAGAGCAAAACTTAGAAACAAATAGCATTGAAATGGACATTAAAGTAAATATAAACAGATTAATAACATGGTTAAATAAAAACAATCTTAATGTAAATTTAGAAAAAACCTATGCTATTTCATTCAAACAATTAATTAATCATGATAAACTTAATATTACATACTTTGACAAAAAGATAGAAGAAACCAACCATACAAAGTTCCTGGGACTCTATATAGACGAACATATGAAATGGAATAAACACATTGAACATATAATAAAAAAACTAAATCAGTTTCAGTACGCCCTATATAATCTCAGCAAAATCGCAAGCCGCGAAACCGTACTCACTGCATATCACGCATACGTGTCGTCTACATTGCGTTATGGAGTAATATTTTGGGGAAACGCATCAGATAGGGAGCTAGTATTTAAGGCACAAAAAAAGTGTTTAAGAGCAGTATGTCAAATAAAAGGTACTGACAGTTGTAGACCACACTTTATTGATCTAAAAATAATGACTTTTCCAGCTTTATACATGTTTGAAGTAGCAATGTTCGTTAAAAAACATCTAAATTTATTTGAAACCCTAACTAGTAACCGTCACCGTGACATTATTCATGTAAGACCCCATAAAACAGCATTATACGCAAAAAGCTTTCAGGGAATGGCTCCAAAAATTTATAATACGATACCCAAGGCTATTAGAACTGAGACTGACATACACAAATTCAAAACAATGCTTACAGACTTTATGGTTAAAAAAGCGTACTATTCCATTGGTGAATTTTTAACAGAGGGAATAAACAAAAAGTAATTGTTAGAAATTCCGTTACATAAGGTGTCCGATTTGTTTATGATATACTCTATTTGACTGTGTTTATAATTTAATTATTGTAAAAATAATAATATTGTATTCCTTATAAATATAATTAAATTTGTACGCCTATAAGGTTAAACATAGCGATCCTAACATTGTAATTACATCTTATCTTTACCTATGTTCCACAAATAAATAATTTGAATTTGAATTTGAATTTGAATTTGTTTTTTTTACAAGCCATAGATATTTCTAGCACGAGAACGAACATAGCAACTTTCTGTGAGGCCATGGTATCACTCCCGTCGATCCGTCCATTCCTGCCTTAGCATGGCTATGGAATATGGTGTGCGTTACCTAGGTACTCTTTTATTAATGAAAATAATACTACATCTATATTTAAAAACACCATCCACTCTTCTAATTTTTAGTTTGCTGTGCCCATCAGGGTCCATAATTGTGACATTTGTATATTTTCTTTTCCACCTTGTGTATATTATGGATTGCAATAAACAATATGAAAATGGCTCTTCTACTAAAAATCTGGTTAATGTAGTCCTGGTTGATTAGAGTATCCTCTTGAATCATTCCAGTCAATTCCTACAAGTTAATTCGTATTTAATTGCTAGCTGTGAACGTTTATCTTTCTCGACCTGAAAAAATGGATAAGCATCGGTTAGAAATTACATGAAGTCACCTTTTTTGGAACGGGGAAAGTCATCTTACATGTTCTCAAACCCTGGGCGAGAGGGAATATAGAGAGTTGTAGTAGTATAGAATCTTCCCCATTCCTTCTCCTGGTCCAGGCCGAGGCCATGGTACCTTACTATACCATCCTCGTCACCATTAATAAATCTAAAGCACGTGTGTTTGCGGCAACATTTATTGCAAGACTGAAGCTCAAGCTACAATGTATAATACTAAACATAAGAACCCTCAGCCCCGGCTGAAATAACTTAGTTTGAGTTTGTGTGTGTGCGTGTAGACAATTTTGTGAAACCAAAAACAATATGAATTAATTTCGGTACTTGTGTCAGCTTGGAGTTGTCATGAAGTGAAGTTGTCAAAGGTCACAGTGGCGGTGGCATGGTCACTGGATCGCTCGATTCCCTATAATATGGTTGAGTAATGAGTTGGGCGATGATGGTGTACGTGTCATGTTCGTGAACGGGCGCCGTTAATGGGGACTGTCTATGTCTTTAAGGTTATTTTCTTTTTGTTTCTCTGTATATTAGCGTTACACTGTTCTCACATAATCAAACCAACTAAATAACGTATCATAGAATCTGTATATGAAACTGATTTAAAAAGAGTAACCATGGAGTTTCTTGCTCGTTCTTTTCCATCGGAATCTACTGAGAACTGACCGACAGACTGACACTTTATATCTTTAAGCTTTGTTTGTCGTTCAAAAGTGGTAGGGTCTAATTGAAAAAAATGATTTTAATTTTTTTAACTAGCACCATTCAAAAATAATCGGATTTACCTGAAGAGTTCTTCTGAAGCACGGCTGAGTTAGTTTTGTTTGTGATCGTCTATGGTGCGCCTGAAGCCGGTTAAGTCTAATAAGATCTCCCCCGCCTCGCTGGTGGTGGAAGTAATCCAGGGCAAGTAGGAGGACAGGTCAATGAACCGTGCTGGTGCGGCGCAGCCTGGTCCGCGCACACCGAAACCGATCTGAGAGGTACGAAACAGACTCTAATTGGTCAGTCAGTCTTAAAAACGGATTGTATTTTATGAGCTAGGACAGAAAACGAGCAAACGGAGGATAGGATATAGAATTGCCCTGATGGGCCTCATTGACATGGCCTTTTTGGGATAAGGGTTTTGGAATTTAAGAATTTGGGCGGAAGAGGAGGGATTGGGCCTTATGAGCCCGTGGTATCACTCCGGTCGAGCAATTCATTCGTGTCGAACCTTGGCTCCCCAACATTTTTACGCGTTTTTCATATATAATAAAAATGTGTTAATAATTATTGAACTCTTTCAACAGCTTGCAAACAGGTTTTTGAGTGTTTTCGGGCACTGGATGCGACTACACACTGAGGGCGTTTGTGTTACTACTAACAATAGCTTTACATATATATAAGGTTTATCAGAAACAGTATATAGACTTTTGTCGGAAATAAATGTCATTATGTTAGGAGGACACAAATGAGTAAAGATCACTTACCAGGTAGAAGATGCCGCCGCTGGCGTTGGAGACGAGCGCCATGCCGTTGTCCCAGACACAGTGAGTGGAGGCTTTGCGTGGCGAGTACCCGCACATGTATGAAGCAGGCTGACTTTTTGCAGTTGATAACTACCGATAGATACTTAGATGTTTGAATAGTAATAATGACAATCGTGATACAACATTTGTTTTTGAAAATAACGACTTACTCACGAACTAACTTTTAGGGAATAAGGGTTTTGGGTATTTAAGGATTGGAAAGGGATGTAGAAGGGAGAGGGATAGCGCCTCCGGTAATCTCACTCACATGGTAGAATACAACGCTGTGGTTGTTTCACGCCGGTTTTCTGTGAGGCCGCGGTATCACTCCGGTCAAGTCAACCCATTCGTAGAGATGCTTGGCTCTCTCAAACTTATTATAGTCTATCATGATTGTTCATTTAATTTAGCAATTTAGATGTAGCCTGTATGTAACACGGCGACACCGCTTATTCAATAGATTAAGTTAGTTAGTGTGCCTTTGCATAAAACGCACGTTATTTTATTCAAAATAGTCGCATACGACTTACGACCTTATCACCCTAACAATAATGATTGTAGTCTCCTATGATACAAAAACTTATGATGACATATATTAAAGAATTATTTTATGAGTTCATGATGATGGCGAAGAAATGGTGTATCAACTGCAACAACTTACTCCAGCTCTGTTGTAGAACTCATCGCAAACGTCCTTTTCAAGATATTGTATCTTATAGATGACTTTCTCCAATATCTGGTTTTCTGTAATTAAAAACACACAAGTGAGTAACATAGTCAATACAATTTATCCTTAATATTGTTACAACGGTACGAAGTAGTACTTAGTGCCAGACAAGAGAGAGAAGTTTTTATTAAAAAGTATGAAGATACCAACAAAAAAGAGGCCTGAGGGGAAAATCATCAAATGACTTCTCCCGTCCCGGAGCAGGCGGGAGGGAGTGTAAGGCTCGTACTGACTAAAAACCCCCCGTTCCTTTTCCTGCTCTAGGCGGAGGTCGCGGTGCCTCATTGCACTTGAATTCAAAAGAATCTTAAGTGTTATTCCGGAATATAATGTGGCTTTCTGTTTTTCAAGGCCTGTCTATCCTCATAGTTTTCCACCTCTTCGACTCCTTTCCTCAATCCAAAAACTCCCCAGGTCCCATAATTCCGGCGACTCAACTAGGAACTCTTGTTGGTGGTGTTGCGAGTGTGTAAGGACGGTGCCGATTGCTTCAGATCTAGTTATACATCTACTCGTTCGCCCATTTATCATTTAAAAAAATGTAAACTTACCATCTGTGAACCCAGTGATGTACAAGTTATCAGACGATTTGAACGATACGCTCGGGAGACATATTGGATTCAACGGAACTGCAACATAAATTAAAGAGTGGAAGAGCCATGCTTCGGCATGAATTGATCAGCCGACCATCGGAGCTCGGAGTGATACCGCGGCGAAAATTAAGCAAAGTGTTACACAATGTGAAATTAAGATGGTATTGAAAATTTAACCACAACTGGAGGATATAATCATTCTTGTATGGGAGAGCCAATCTTCGGCACGAATGGGTCAGCTCGACCGGAATGACACGGCCTCACAACGTTGTGTTTCACCGTATGAGTGAGGTTACCGGAGGCCCAAAACTTCTCCTCACCTGATCCCTAAATCGTAAATCCTCTGTTGTTCCGGGTGGCCTTGGGCGGCGCTGATTTCTTACCATCAGGTAATCTATCTCCACATTTGTCCTCCTATCAAATAAGCCTATTTGTCTTTTATTGTGTCTCGAATTAGGTACCACAACTAAAAAGTTATATGTGAATGTGTTAAGATGGTAGTGGAATTTGAACCACAACTCAATGAGAAATAGAATCTAAACTCACAGTTCAGCACATCGTCGACATCTAGCTCGATGATGGCGATGGTGTTGACGGTGGTATACTCATACTCCGGGTGCGTGGAGTAGGACTTGGGCGTGGCCACCCACTCAGTGCCCTTCCCAGGCATGAAGATTGCCTTGGTGTCTGTCCTGGTGTAACAAATTTTATAAATGATTAATGTTAAAGTACGGCAAATAATCGACGCCGTCCAAGATCACCAGCAAGTGGTTACAGTACACACACCCTGACATTTGTGGTGTTTTTGGACATTGAGGGTCGAAGATTGAGAAATTACCATTGGGGATTGAGGATTGAAGTCACACTATTACGGCAAAAAATGGCAAACCAAACCAAACCTGCACATCCCCAAATTTCTTTACAGGCGGTCATCTTAGATTTACAAATTATTGATAACTAGCTCTTACCCGCGGCGTCGCTCCCGTCATTTGACTACCTACCCTACTCTACCTAACCTACTCTATCCTATGTCCTTCTCCTGGCTCTAAACTACCTCCCTGCCAATTTTCAGCTGAATCGGTTCAGCCGTTCTTGAGTTATAAGTGGTGTAACTAACACGACTTTCTTTTATATATATAGATTATCATTATAAGGTTGGAATCGCTAACCCGCATTGAGCAAGCGTGGTCATTAATGCTTTATTTAACCTTCTCCGTGTGAGAAGAAGCCTTTGCTCAGCAGTGGGCACTTATTGGCTGATGATGTATTGTCATTTCAGATGAATTCGATAACAGGAAGGTACTTAAATTTCAATTTGTAGTTTTGACCCAAACAAACAAAGAAATAAATAGCGTATGGGTGGTTCTAAATAAAACCTTTTAAAAATACCTTAATTGTGTTAACTATAGTTTGGAACACTAGTTAAATGGATTGGCCATTGTAATCGAAATTGGTTCGCAGACATTACTTACTCAAAGACATGTTGAGGAATCTTAACGATGTCGTCAGCGTTGGCTATTGCATGCTTACTTGTTACAAGCACGATCCCAGTCAGTGCCGTCCTCCATTTTTTGCCTTCATCTGTACAATACAGAGATCAGATTAAGTAATTGGCTTCGCAAAAACGCCCAGATAAATATTATAGGCGACAACTACAGTTTTTTTTAAATGCTTTGTAACGAAACGACGTCGAATGCGCAAATTGCAATGGTGACTGCAATGGTTGTGGGTCATGCTGGACAATGTACAGCGGCTTCAGCCCAGAGCAGGAACCGGAAAAGGGTGGCTTTCCGTGGGAAAAGTATGACACTCTTTAAGAAAATAATTGAGGTGCCTAAATTAATGTTAAAAATTACCAAATGACAATTAGTTCATGTTTGTTTGTATGGACGTTAAAAATATTGAATGATTTGAGTACTAACGTAAGTGTACTTTAAGTATTCCGAGCCAGTTGAACACTTCGGACTGTCCGAAGTTGCCCTCAGCGACTCGTGCTGTGGTCGCCTCGTCGCAGTGAGTTGCATATGTCCCAACTAAAATAAATATGCCTAGTTAACACAATCATGTATTTCCTTCACGTTAGAGACTTCGGCATGAACGCTCGGAGTAAGTATATTTCGTGTGAGTGAGGTTATAAATGGTCTAGTTCTTCCAACCACTTTCTCAAATCCGTAACACCCAAAAGGACTGTAATAGACTTTTAATCGCATATAACAAAATTTTACTTTATCGCTATAGCACTTATATGTGAAGAATACAAGTATATACAAGTGTGGGAGAGCCAAGCTTCGGCACGAATGGGTCGAATCGACCGGAGTGATATGGCGGCCTCATAGAAAACAGGCGTGAAACAACCACAGTGTTGTGTTTCGCCGGCGGTGTGAGGTTACCGGAGACCCAATCTCTCCCTCTCCTCCATCTCTTCACAATCCTTAATGTCCGAAACCTGTTAAAAATGCTTAAAAGGCCGGCAACGCACTCGTTACTTCATTGGTGTTGCGGTTGTCCATGGGTGGCGCTGATTGCTTACCATCAGGTAATTCGTATGCTCGTTTGCCGATCTATACCAAAAAAGAACTACTCACCTAGGAACAGAAGTAACAGTTCGCCCGTCAATATGCTGAGCATAATTTTTAAGAAATATCCCAGAATATAGCATGCCACATACTCGAAAACTTACCTACGTATAGTTGCAGTCAACCGTGTAATTACTACAAGCAGTTCATTGCTGATTGCTCATTAATTAGTCACGTGTAATTTAAAATGATATTACCAGAGTCTAAAATTTGACTGACAAAATGTTAGTCCATTTTACTTTTAAAGTTTCCATACTTAAAGTGTCTTCCAGTGTGCAAATAAATGCTTTGATTTTTACATAGGCTACAATTTTTTATTAAGTTTTCGCCAATTTACACCCTTGCATTTTTGATACCTTTTCGAGTACCTAGCGACTTTCGAATTTCGATTTTTGACTTTCGACTTCCGGCTTCCAACATCCGACTTTCGACTTTTTCGAATTTCTATTTTCGATATTTGGTTTTTGTATTCGAATATCCGAATTTCCTTAACAGATTTTTATGTGTTGGAGGACCATAGTCTTCCAACACCTTTTATAAACATGCATACATTATTCGATGGAGTACGTGTGTGGTCCTCAGGGACAAAATAAAGTAACACACAGTGGGCGAGTCCTAATGGTAGTCGCGAAATCTTTCTGAAAACACAATGTTCGCTGAGCCTCATAGAAATACGTTAAATATTTATAACAGACGCGAGGTGCGAGTAATTAGCGTGTGCCGCCATCTTGGGCAGTCGTAATTACCAGGGTGACTCTACACCGGAGACAATCGCCACTAAATCAAGCTGCGCTCATTTACATCGCGCCGTTCTTTAGGTTTTTAAACAATGTTTGAAAATAAAATGTATGAAATTAAATACATAATTATAAGTTGTGAAGGGTGTCGTTAACTGGTTTACGTGTTACTAGGATGGCATGAGTTCATTTATGAAACAATACAACTGAACTAGTAACGACTTTAATGAAGTATTTTTATGTCGTTCGGCCAACGAGCAGAATTATAAGTGTGGGAGAGCCATGCATCGGCACGAATGGGTCGGTTCGACCGGAGCGATACCAGGGCCTCACAGTAAACAGGCGTGAAACAACCACAGCGTTGTATTTCGCTGTGTGAGTGAGGTTACCGAAAGCCCAATCCTTCCCTTTCCCCAATCCCTCCCCAGTCCCTTAATCTCCAAATCTTTAATCCCCAAAAACTTGGCAACGCACTCGTAACTACTCCGTTGCGGGGGCCCATAGGTGGCGCTGATTGCTTACCATCAGGTAATCTGTCTGAATGTTTTTCGATCTATAACATAAAAAAAATACATGATACCTACAACACCAGAGGTGTTGCTAATGCGCTGCCGCGCATTTGGGTATTTAAGGACCTTACTCACACGGCAAAACACAACGCTGCGGTTTTTTTAGGTTCAAGGTCATGTTTTCGACTTCTGATTCTAAATCAAGAGCAGGAGAAGGAACTGGCGTTTAGTCAGTAAGGGTCCTGAGGGGTCCCTCTCAAAAAAACTGTATCCGATGCCAAATTTGACCCGAGACTCCGTGCGTTAAGAATAGTTGACCAATAAGGTCAACAAACAGGTCTATGAACAAAAAAACATGTTTTCCTAAAAATGATGTTATCTTTTCAAAGTCCCGAAAAGTTATCAACTTTCAGTTGCTGAGACTTGCTTAGTCCGTCAAAATTTAATGATATACCTGCCCTTTGTGCCAATATCCTGGGATACAATAAATCTTATCATTATCTGCAATAAGTGCTCACATTATGGTCGCTCGCATCCGTTTCTACTTACGATAGTAATCACAAGGCGAGTCGGTCAGTATCGACACTCCATCGCTTCGCTAAATTGTGTATTGTTGCTGTTTGAAATGTACTGAAGCAATCATAACAAGGTATCCTCAACTATCCTACCTTTTTAATGGATTTTCAGCCTTGCCATTTTGTGATAAAGTTATAAATCTTTTAATTGTAGGGTGGGGGAGGTTGATGTGCGTCTGTAGAATGTCGGAATCTTTGTGTTATGGACTCGCCCACATTTTGGCAGTGGTACAAAGACGCCTAAGCGTGTCGAAGACTTTTTGCTTTTGGTTTATGGTGCAAGTATAAACTACCCTCCTCGAATACACAGATAGCACGCTTAGACTTAGATTTATAAACGTATCCTCACTTTTTTATGTGGTAGGTAAGCAATGCATTCGCACGTGAGTTCGTTCATTCGAGTACCCAGTGACCCTCTCATTGTTTTCCCGGATTGAGTGTGTGGTTTTAGTCGGTAAGAGTCTGACATAACCTGCTGTCTGACGCTCTTGTCTAGACAAAGGGTATCAATGAGGATTTCCACACGTTAAAAAATAAAATAATAAAAAGGTAGGCAATGCATACCGATCATCTGACGGTAAGCGATCAGCGCAGTCCACGGACACCCGCAACAACGGAGGAGTTCGGCGTGTTGCCAACCTTTTGGGGATTAGGGATTTGCTGATTTTGGGATTGGGAAGAGATTAATTGGGGGACGGGAAAGGACCTCCGACAAATGGTAATTTTCCTGTAAATGGGTGGCTTTAGAAACATTCAATAGACTATACCCAGACCAGAAACAAGAATGTGTGGATCACACAAGACCTGTTCTGTGTGAAATCGAACGAATCCGCCTCCAAGCAAGAGAAAAATCTTTAAAAGGCATAGAGAGGTATTTTTAAATCAATAAATCTGCCATAGTGGCCAAATTCTGCACCTGCAAAGTCCATGTTCCACCGTATCCTCTCAATAGACCATTCCTGGAGCCTCCACGGTATAATGCTTCTTACGGCGCATTCCCAGGGGCATCTTTGTCATCATCTACCACGAGCCTTGACGTCACGTCACTTTGCCTTCATTTCTCTGAGATCACTGAATTCCAAACATTATGCAACCGTGTCTGCAAAACACAGCATTTTTCTTTAGGTATACTACTCTGTCAAGAAAGTACCGGGAAAAAGTCAATAATACACAAATATTTTGTTATTCATCTAAATTTATTTTATCACCTTCAAAGTATGCTCCTTCAGAAACGATACACTTACGCCAACGAATAATCCAATCATCGAAACTTTTTTTAAACGCTGTTTCCGGAATTGAGTTCAGTGCTCGCCGCGAATTCTCCTTTATGTCTTCTAACGGTAATTTGAGTGTGGGAAAAAGAAAGAAGTCGGCTGGAGCCATATCTGGTGAATATGGTGGCTGCTCGATGGTGTTTGTTGAGTGTTTGGACAAAAAATCGTTTACAATGATGGCGAAGGCGAATGCGAAGGCGCATTATCGTGATGCAAAATCCAAGAATTTTCTTTCCACATTTCTGGCCTTTTTCGTCGAATTTGTTCTCTTAAACGCCGCATAACGCTCAAATAATATTCATTATTTACCGTTTGACCTTCGGGCAAGAATTCTGAGTGCACAACACCGCGATAGTCAAAGAAAACAGTCAACATGACTTTGACTTTTGATCGACTTTGATGTGGTTTTTTCGGTTTTGGTTCAGTTGGAAGGCGCCATTCCGAAGCTTGTTGACTAGTTTGCATGTCAAACTCGTAAACCCACGTCTCGTCACCAGTAACAATGCGTTTCATGAATGTTGGGTCGGTATTGACTCGTTCTAGCATGTCCTCAGCGACTTTCATGCGATTTAGTTTTTGAAGAAAATCAGGTCTTTTGGGACTAGCCGAGCGGCAACACGTTTCATACCCAAATTATTTGTTAAAATGGTACGGATCGACTCGTGAGATACAGAAAGTTCGGCGCCCATCTCTCTCAAATTTGAATGAGGATTTTCAGTCACTATTTCCTTCACTTTTGCGATGTTAACTTCAGTTGCAGACGTTGATGGCCTACCAGAACGAGGCAAATCTTCCATCACATCTCGACCGCTTTTGAACGCTTTGTACCACTCATAAGCACGTGTTTTTGATAAAGTCGATTCACCGTAAGCCTTCTGTAACATTTTGAGTGCCTCCGAACACGAAATTTCATTGGCGATGCAAAATTTAAGACAAACTCTTTGTTCGATGTTTTTGTCCATTATGAAATTCGCAATACACACTAGATATTATAAAACTAAAAACAGCACTGTTTTTAATATAAATAACAGATGCAACTCAAATTCCGCGCCAAAATGGAAAACAGTTATGCCAATCTAACAACAACAAAAAAAATTAAAATTCGAATTTGGAACCATAAAAAAAAACATTCATTCCCGATACTTTGTTGACTGAATGTATTTCTGTACACGAGCCTACGGTACTTTTTTGATTTTGATTTTGTACTTCGCATTCCATAAAGAGCCATCAATCCACCACAGATGAGGCCTACTAGCGCCGATATCCAGCCGGAGATACAGGTGTAAGCACAATACAATACTGCAGCCCTGACCTAGAGCAGGAGAAGGAGCGAGGTGATTTTTAGCCAGAGAGAGTCTCACACTCCCTCTCACAAAGCGGGTAAAGTCATAATTGACTGCACGGTTAGCGCGGTGACTGGGAAATGAGTCGCGGATTCCATTCTCGCACGGAATCACTCTTTATGTGATCCACAAATTGTTGTTCCAGATCTGAGTGTAATGTGTAAGTATGTGAAATTATGTATATGTTTAAAAACGCTCCCACGACACAAGAGAAAATGAGTAGTGTGGGGCATCTTTATATAAAAAAAATATTTTTCTCCCATAAAAATAGTGTATTTCTATACAAGTAACAGCTGTTGGACATTGGTCTCCTAATAAAATACTACACTCGTATCATTGAGCTAAGCATCGATGTGTCGGTTGTTATTCTTGTTCCCATGGTTACCGCTATTACCACCATTACCGCCATTACCTCGCATTACACTGTCCGTCTGCTGCAGTTTATGTGGGACTTGACCTCATCGCTGTATCGTCGCCGTCATTACAATACCGGCTAAATAGGGTACGATGAAATACACTGAAATAACAAGGTCCACTTGATTCATTC